AGTGGGGAGGTTTAGATTAGATGTCAGGAAGAAGTTCTTCCCGGAGAGGGTGTTAAGGCATTGGAACAGGTTTCCCAGAGAAGCTGTGGATGCTCCATCCCTGGAAGTGTTCAAGGCCAGGCTGGATGAGGCTTTGAGCAACCTGGTCTAGTGGAAGGTGTCCCTGCCCATGGCAGGGGGCGTTGGAACTAGATGGTTCTTAAGGTCCCTTCCAACCCAAACCAGTCCGTGATTCTATGATTCTATATATATTTCGGAACTAGGAATTATTTTGGAATTATCATTTGTGTTTTTCTATGTGATGCTAGTCCTCAATTATTGTAAATACTTGCCCTTGTTTTCTGCAGCTCTGGTGTATTTTGTCGTTGTTGTAATACTTCTTTGAATTGTCTGCCTTTTCTCATCACCAAAGCCTGTAAATGTGTCTGTAGTAACAACATTTCTGTTTGATTTTTTGAATTAATAGCCATTAGAGTGCAATGTGGGGTTTTTGTTTCTAAAGACGTTGGGAGCAGGGGGAAATGGCAGTTTTATTTTGGAGGGCATGCCGTAAGTCCATTAAAAAACTTGGCGTTGAGCAGCTTAGCATTAGGCTGATGCAGTTGGTTTTGGGGAAAAAAAAAAGACCCACAACCAATGGTGTTGCCTATTTAGGTTAATTTTCTTTCTTTTTCTTTCTTTTTTATCACAGCAACATGGCGAACGCACTTGCAAATGCCATCTGCGAGCGCTGCAGAGGCGGCTTTGCCCCTGCCGAGAAAATCGTCAACAGCAACGGTGAGCTGTACCACGAGCAGTGCTTCGTCTGCGCCCAGTGCTTTCAGCAGTTCCCCGAAGGGCTCTTCTACGAGGTAAGGGGGCAGAGTGCCCCTCTCGCCCCCAGCCTTTGCCTTGTGCCTTTGTTCCCAGACCAGAGGTAGCTACAGGCAGATGGGCAGCTTAGAAAGTTGGAGTGAGTCCAGAGGAGGCCACGAAGATGCTCAGAGGGCTGGAGCACCTCTGCTATGGGGACAGGCTGAGAGAGTTGGGCTTGTTCAGCCTGGAGAAGAGAAGGCTCCGGGGAGACCTTATAGCACCTTCCAGTACCTGAAGGGGCTACAAGGAAGCTGGGGGGGACTTTTTACAAGGGACTGTAGTGACAGGACAAGGGGTAACAGATTTAAATTGAAAGTGGGGAGGTTTAGATTGGATGTAAGGAAGAAATTCTTCCTGGAGAGGGTGTTAAGGCACTGGAACAGGTTGCCCAGAGAAGCTGTGGATGCCCCATCCCTGGAAGTGTTCAAGGCCAGGCTGGATGAGGCTTTGAGCAACCTGGTCTGGGGGAAGGTGTCCCTGCCCATGGCAGGGGGGTTGGAACTGGATGGTCTTTAAGGTCCCTTCCAACCCAAACCATTCTGTGATTCTATGAAAATTCCATCGCAAGAGCAGGGCTCTGAAAGGCTATGCCCGACAGGGGCAGTAAAGAATAGAAACGTTTCTGTGCCAGTTTGGGGGACGTCAGTGTGTGTAACCTTGTTTAAATGTGTTGCCTCATCTTATCAGAGCTGAGATAAGAACTGCTGGAGATTTCTCTCTCAGTGCAGACTTTTTCCTCTGCAATCTGTGAAGACAATCTGCATATCATGCCAGAAATACAGAGAGCACATAATTGTTAAGAGAAAAACAGTCATATAGAAGAAAACCCCAACATCCTGTGGTCCACAGGAGTTTTATTGCTGAGCTGAGTGAGGCCAGCACAGCATGTGAGAAGTTGCTTGTAGAGGCAACCTGTAATCGCCGTGCGGAGAACCGAGACCGGAGAGGGCCTATGTAGGGTCAACTCCAGGTCTAACAAACCGGAGCGTTCAAAATTAGCAGCTCTTCCATGCTTTCAGGGGTTAAAACCCGCTCTCACTCATGTTCGTCAGCCCCAGGTAGATTGCCCTCAGCGCAGATGGTGGTGTGATATCGGGGTTGGATTTTTTGGGGAAAGAAAACAATTGTGGGGATTCAGGCTGTGGCTCGGCTGTCTCAAGTACAAAGTGGCTTTAGCGAAAGCTTTAGACTAGTTTGTAAAACACGAAGTGACTGGTATCAGGAAGGGTGTAGATGATGTGAGATAGGAAATTACTGTCTGAGAGATAAGGTCCCACTCAAGTAGCTCGTAGTCCAACTGACAGTAGTGGTGACAGGATTTATGCCATACCGTGATCTGGAGAGGAAGGCGAGCAGCGTGTTAGAGGCACCGTGCTGTGCTCTTACATACAGTGTGCCATCCCTGGGGCAAGAGCACAGCGGTGTGTCTTCCACAGTAGTCATTCTCATTGTACAGAGCCACCTTACGTGGTGATGAGGAGCGGCTGAGGGAGGAGTGTGGGTTGGAAAAGAGACTGGCAACGGGGATTCCTGAGATTTGCTTTCTCTCACCTTGTTAGAGGATCAGAAGCTTGTCAGTGCTGTAGGGATAGTGTTGCACAAGTTGTGGTGAATGAGCCACCAGTGTTCTCTAAGACATCAAAAGGTAAGCTGCAAGACAACAGCAATTAAAATAAAACCAAAACAAACCACCCCCTGGATACTTACACGTTGCATTACAATTGTTCACAGGTACTGAGCTGCTGCCTGCTTGCAGGCACGGTAAGGGGTCCTGACGTGTTAAGACCTGAGGCAAACCTAAAGGGATAGAAATGTTTTAAAACTAAAATATTTGTGACTTAATAAAACTGTCTTAAAACAGTAATAATTTCTCTAAGTAAGGAGTACTTGAATCATCCATTTTCTGACTAAAAAACCCAGTGGGATAATCCAGGGACCTCTTTCAAAAAGTTGAATGTTGCTTTGTTTGAGATACAAGTTTGAGGTTTGAGAAATCCTGCTCTAGGTAGCCTGTATCTCCCAGAGGATGGAGGAGGGCCACAATGGAAATAAAGTCTTACATTTGCACCTAATTCAGCAATATTACAACATCTCTGTTGCTCACAATGGGCATATCTGAATCTCCTTTGGCAGGGGCAAGTATCCTGGTGGTGTTTAGATATATTGGGTGTAGGCATTTTGTTGCCTACTGCTACCTTGTAGACATTCTTACTCATTATGCTTGGTGTTTGAGCACTGTCTTACTGCAAAGTGATGCTCCCTGTTAAAGACAGTAAGTCACAAGTGAGTGTTGATAGATTGTCCTGGGAATGATGAAAATAGCCTCAGGTACTAAACATGTTTTGGTTAACATTGCTAGGGTTGGGTTTTTTCCAGGCTGGGTAGATGCTTTGCTCTTCAGAAATGTTATATAGAAAAGTTTCGGTGAAGAATAGACACTTTTTGCCATAGCTGTTACAGAGGTACAAAAGATGTGATGAGGATTAAATGTGAAGACTTGTGTGTGGCTTGAACTTCACATCACCCTTCTGCCTCTAGCCCTCCTAGTGCCCACCACAAGACTTTGCAGTGTCTCTCTGCACCAGCAAGTCTGTCTCCTGCTGTCAAAGAGATATTTTTTGGTCTGTTTAAGCCCTCTGACTGCCTTCAGGTGATGGCTCATAAATCTTACCCAGCATTCCTCTCCCATCTATACTGGCCTGTCATGGGCATCTTCTAGAGAATGGAGAGGTCAGTAGATATCCATGCTGTGGCATCTCTCATGCCTTTGGGGCTCTTTCGGCTGGAAAATCTTTGGCAGGTCCTTCTCCTCTGTCTCCTTTACGGTCTCCACGAGTGTCCCTTGCTGCCAGAATGGCTCTCGCTTGGCACTGAAGTGGTCAGTGAGATGATTGCAGTGTAAAGCCTGGCACGTTTCCTGATGGTGCTGCTCAGGGAGAAGGGGGAACAAGGGCACAGCGTGCTCTTCTTTCATTCGGCACCTTGGCACCAGCATTGAGAATGTACTGGGTGACAGCGGTCGGGGGAGAGGGAGGGACAGCCCTAAGCGGGTAAAGGATGGGCTGAGGTTGGCCGATGCTCAGGAGATGGCTGGCAGTGCTCTGAGAACTTGAGATGATCCGTATCATAGTCAAGAAAAAGTGCCTGGAGAAGGCAGGCAGAAATGATATCTTCCTCTGACCAGCTTAATGCACTCTCGGAGAAGATGGATGTGTTTGGAGGTGTGGCCGGCTAACATGTTTTTTCTGAGCAGGTTCCCCATGGGTAAACACAGGCGTTGTTGGTCACTCAGCACGACTTTGTGTTTATTCTGTGCCTGGTTTAGCTAAGCTGGTGTTTCTTGGAAATGTTTTCCAGCTCTTAGCAATCGGGAAGTCAAATATTCTCCCCCTGCCTATCACAAGCTTTGCCGAGTTCTCCAAGTTAGTCATTAAGCTGCTTATCACATTTGCCATCAAATGCTGCCATGATAAGCTTTCACGCTCTGTTCCATGCGTAGGGGCTGAACTGGTCAGGCCGTGTAGGAAGAAATGCCGGTGCAGGTCTCCTGAGCCACAAGAAGTGTCTCCAGGCTGCTTGCAGGGACCCCCGTCAGCGCAGCTCACCGTGGTCTGGCATCACAACCGCCTGCCACGCCGGAGCAGCGCCCATGCGCAGCTGAGAGTTTGCACAGCATGGCAGGAATTTTGTTGGGGTCCTCACGACCCTGTGTTAGAAATGGTAATACAGATTTGTAATCAACCAGTGCTCGCCTTGTTGCATATGGGTGGAAGCAGTAGCCGTGTGCCTAATGTTGCGTGGGACCTGCTCAGGTGTATCTGTGTTCCAGTTTGGTCAGTGTCACAGTTCAGCATGTTTTCTTACGCACTCCTCCTAAACAGAAATTAGCACAAGCACTTGCCAGCAGAGTTTCCAAACTCATCATGCTTTGTTGTCAGATGTGAATCAGATCACAGAATCTTAGGGGTTGTGAGGGACCTTCAGAGATCATCTAGTCCAACCCCCTTGCCAGAGCAGGATCACCTGGAGTAGATCCCACAGGAACAAGTCCAGGTGGCTTTCGAAAGTCTCCAGGGAAGGAGACTCCACCACCTCTCTGGGCAGCCTGTTCCAGTGCTCTGGCACCCTCAGAGTAAAGAAGTTCTTCCTCATGTTGAGATGGAATTTCCTGACTTCTAGTGAGTGCCCATTGCCCCGTTTCTTGTCGCTGGGCCCCACTGAGAAGAGCCTGGCCCCATCCTCTTGACACCTGCCTTTTAGATATGGATAAGTGTTGATAAGATCCCCTCTCAGTCTTCTCCAGCCTAAACAGACCCAGCTCCCTCAGCCTATCCGCATAAGAGGTGCTCCATTCCCTTGACCATCTTCGTAGCCTCCACTGGACTCTCTCCAGCAGTTCCCCGTCTTCCATGAACTGGGGAGCCCAGAACTGGACACAGTGAAGGGATAGCAATTCTGGTCTGCTTTTACGCCATCACCTGGAAGCCACGTATTCCCCACAGCTGCTGTTGCAGTCTTACAGTGGGTAGCAGCGTGCAGTTCTGTAGTAATAGCAGCAGAACAGCCGGCTTAAATGGAGAGCTTTGGCAGCAGTGTGCCCAGAGGGATGGGTTGGCCCCACTCTAATCGGTCTGCGGGCATTCCCTCCAACCCACATTACTCTCAGGTCCAGGAAAGGCTCCTCCCTGCTAGAGGTTGCCTGTCTTTCCCACTGCAGAGTGTGGGCACCTCACCTTCAGACAGGGGAGGTTAGGAGAGGTAAGTCCTACCCCTGGTCCGGCTGTTCGTTAAGAGCCTCTGGCTTTCAGAAAAAACCCAACCTGCTCTGTGTGCACTGTGCTGGGTGTTGAACAGGACAGAAGGGCTGAGGGAGGTGCATCCCACAACAGAAGAATTACGGCAAAATCCTTATGAAGTGTTCACAAGAGCTAGAATTGGGGAACTTGTATAACTGCTGCTACTATTATTATTACTGTTGTTGTTATTACTATTGTTGTTACTATTATTACTAATACTACTACTATTGAGTGGCATGTGACTTTTTTCTCCTAAATGAGAGGGAGCTCCTTTCAGTTTGGTTTTTTTTTTTTTTCCTAAGATGTTTGAAATAACCTGTAGGAAGATTAAAAGAAGGCACAGCTGCCGTGAGCTTGTTGGATTTATTTGGATTCCCGTTGCACCTGGAGTGTTTTCTTAAAACGGGCTTTACCAAAATCTGAGTCTCAGAAGAAGGGTCTTTCAGGACTCAGTTTCTGTGCATGTCTTTGCACTAGATTAGCTAAAACCCTGGAGATCAGCTGGAAGTGGTGTCGTGGTGAAAGGTTCTGTGCGGAGCCATGTGTGGACCTCCAGCATACACCAGTCAAATGGCCTTGCTTTTAAGATACACACTGTGGGATTGTTAGAGAAGTTCAAGGCTCAGACGGATGAGCCGCTGGGTCACCCACAAAAGGCAGCACAAATGAGCCAAGAAGGTTGAAAACACAAACAAGAGTGAATGGTAACCAACCTGGTTGGCACAAGCCAGAGGGGAAGAAAACCTGTTTGGTCCGCCCAGATCAACAGGAGGTGGCTCTGAAATCCAAGCAAACGTGTGCATCTCGCACTGGATCACCTGTTTACACAAAATGGGAAGCTTTCAAATTTTTTTTCAGATTGAAAAGGATTGTAGCCAGCAGGAAGCAAGCATAATTCTTAATGAACCAGTCATTTCCATGACTCTTTGAGGCAGTAATAGCCCTCTGTCTCTCAATTTTTTTTTTTTTAAAGCTCCAGTTAATAGTAATCTTGTTTTAGAGTATTACACTGGAAACACACTTGGTAAACTGCTAGCTGAGACTTCTGAAAGAGTCTGTTATCGAGCACGTGTCTTTCTGTTCTTAGTAGGTGCAATCCAGGTTGGGCACAGAAATTAAGTTTCTGATCTCAAGTATCCAGTGACTTTAGAGTGTTTCATTAGATTCCCATCCTGCCAGTGGCTCTGTATATTGCACAAGTAATTGCTATATTGATACTGTATTTGATGCTTGGAATTTCATGGTATAAAACAGGCTGTCTTGAAGCACATTGCTGTGTTTTCTCTCTGTGCACCAAAACCTTATTTATGGGTGATTATTTTGTGCTCTTTGCTTTGTTTTGTGTTTGACACTGTTAAAAGAAATGAGTGGGGTTTCCTGCTATCCCACTTTTTCCAGTGTTTGAAACAGAGGCATTCAAATCCAAACATTTCATAGCATACCTAATGTTGTCTGTCTGGTTTTGACATGCTAGTTGGCATGTGTGTCTAGTAATGATGTGCCTGAAGGTATCTAAACATTTCCTTTCCTTTCAGGACATACTTGCCTACATGTTCTTACATATTCTCCAGCTATGTTGCTAATGCAGTGCTGTAGAACTACTTTTTCCATATGTTTTTTCCTATCTGAGCTTGAACTGCAGCTGAACTTCTCTCTAAGCTGTGAGCAAGT